TGTTGATGGGTGTTATAATATTTTGTTTCTCTTTGTTTACCCATTTTGTTGTGCTTAATGTGTGTACAGGGTAGTCGGAATCTCTAGCTTGTTTTATGGACGTGTCTCCAAGTGGAACTAAGTATTGGAATCTTTCGTGTGACGACGCTGTCAAGCCTATTGCGGGTCAGCGTTTTCAGTCCCTTGATCATGGTATTGTTTTTTATCGGCATTATGCGCCTGTTGTTCGTTTTGACGTACGTCGTAGTACCGTGCATAAGAATATGGGGGTGTTGTGGTTTTAAACTATTTGGTTTGTTCCTGTGAGGGATTTGAACAGTCTATGGATGAACCGTCTGTTGGGAATGAGACTTTGGATTCAGCGCCTGCGGCTCAAAAGCGACATCGTGTTTCTAATAGGGTGGGTTGCGAGGCTAGGATTGTACTTAAAGTAGGTGTTGATGGTACTTATTTTGTTCATTTTATTGAGCACCGTCATAATTAATGTTTGTGCTCGGATGTGTCTAAGCCTTTTTACGCGCACACTGACTATTGCTTCTGTCCCGCTATATTGATTAATTTTCATTTAGTAAGCGTTAAATTACAAAAGTAAGAATCAATGTATTCTGATAATCAATATCAATTTCGCATCTGCAATGACAATCCCATCAACTAATAAAAAAAAAAAAATCAACTCATCACTTTAAATAATTCAAATCCTCTTGGACCTAACTCAAAGTGTTCATGAAACCTACTCAAAATGATAGCTCGCGTGTCAGTTTATAACATTTTTCCAACCATAAAAAACGTAAACTAACTTGTCTCATAAAAAAAAAAACCGTAGTACAAGCTTTGAATATGCATACTTGCACATTGGTCAACCACGCGGCTGCACAACTGCTGACACTTGCATTCAGGAGCATACCTCCCTTTTTTTTTCACACTACTTGCACTTACAAAAAAATAAATAAGTTTAATATTCATACTGAATTAAATTTTTCTTTTCAAAAGTAGCAAATTTAATAGTCTAAGACCTCAAAAAGTAAATAGTCACATGGTTGTCGACGTAGTTCGTGGCAATTACAAACAGTAACTGTAGTAAAAAAAGTTTAAAATTATTACATTCACTTGAATCTCGCCTACGTCATCAAAACCATCATGTACACACATTTGGTGTCTTCAACTACATTTCCTGCGAGAATACGACAGTCTGATGGAATAGGGGTGAGCTTGCGAGGTTTTGTGCATGATGCTCATTACACTCACTAAGAAGAATGTCATGGATGTACTTCAATGGTACTACCAGCGGACTAACGAAATCATCATCAGGGTTGGGTTCAATGGTTGTAACACTCCCAAAACTTAATCATAAAATAAGGCATTCAAACTTAGAGTTAAGTAGAAAGTCTAACCATTAATTAAAACTAAGCGGAAGCTAAACAGTTAAGTAGGGATGTTATGCCACATCTAGATTTCCAACCTAGATGCACAGGCTTACAAGAACTACTATCGCGCCACATGCCAAAACAACTAAGCTAGAGGAAGGGGAACCAAGTCTAAACCGGGCTCCACTATCGCGCTCTCGGATCGACTATTCACCTGAAAACATAAGGTATAACAACCGTTAGCAAAAATTGCTAAGTAACCCACTCCAACTCGTTGAAATATATAAGTGTATACTTTATAGGTAAAACCATCTTGAGACTTGGGAATACATAAGTATAGTCTTAAACAACTCTTGCTTTACAAATCACGAGGAATAGATGCAATACACCGACCATACGAAGAATATACTCAACAATACCACTCAATACCATGAGACAACGATATGGATCAATTCAAGGAATAAAGATAACGAATCAAGAGACAACAAGTAAGGAAGGTAAGCAAAATCATCAACAAGGTGGTCCTCAACACAATCCACAATCAAACAATCATCAACAAGGTTCCAAAGGGAAAAAGAGAATGGAAGTTTTAGGTTTCAAACTTGGTAACGACGTTAAATAGGAATTGGGTCAAAGGAATTAAAGTTGCATTCTAGGGGATAGGGTTGCCACCTTGTATGGAATCAATTGAAAGAAGGTATCAAGAACGAAGTTTGAAGTGGTAGAGGGGATTTCTCAACGAAACGGCATTTGGTTTGTCAGGGAAAGGAAGGGAATTTGGCTTGTTGCACGATTAAACTTAAAAATTCTTACACCCAAACGGCACATTTGACTTCACCCCTATATCTTTAACCTTTGTACTAACGAAATATACCAAATAATGAGGCTACGAGCCTGCAATTCATATGAATATAAACACAGCATAGAAGTCTTACTCACGATATTTAAATAATTTCCAATGATTTAAACATATAGGATCATAAGATGCACTGAACATGCAATTAAATATGTTTATTTGTGCGTCTAACTAAGAGACTAATACCATACGTGTGCAAATTTGAATAGTCATACAATATGCACATATATCAACACAGGCGAACCATGAATGGATATAACCATTTAATGTACAATTTAGCATGTCATGAGCCGAATACCACATATATAGGATTTATACCTAATCATTGTACTAAGACATAATGCACCAAATAATAATAACAAGCCTATCATATGCGATAATCTTTCATGATTAACTATTATGTTATATGCGAAGCCTGCAAAATGGCAAATCTATGTATGCAGCTGCAATTATGCTAAATATATAACTTCCTAAGTCTATAGGTATAGAGCATGAATGCATGTGAACATATTTCGAGTCTTAAATAATAACTAGTCATATGGAATCACACAACATATCTGCGTACTGTTCGACATGTTAAGCTAGTGCATATTCAACAAATAAATTCTTTGCGGCATAACCGGACAATTTGTCATATATATTCAGGAAGATCATAAATCATATAAAAATTACTCAAAATGACAAAGATCGATTTTTGAGGAAAAGGTTTTCACGTAGGCAATTAGGAAAAAGTTTTTTGTTTCTTAGGGGGTAAATAAATTTTGGGAAGACAATAGAATCAAAATCTTCATATTGCACACCAAAAATTTTACATATAATCACATAACAAGTAGTTACATAAGTATTAAGTACCAAAATTTAGCACACAAGAAATATTTCACCAAATTCCATAACGAATATTTTATGCCAAATTCTTATGCCGTAATTACACGAGGTGTATGCGGGATTGCCCATAGCATACTAATTATACAAGTATTGACACGTACACACAGATTGATGGCAATTAATAACATTGTATATATGCATAGTAGGGTGCGTTATAACATACAGTTTTTTCTAACATGCTTTATATATACGAATGGATGTAAATATGCATTTCGATACAAATATGCGAACTATCTAATTTGACACACAATACATACACCATAAAAATATGAATCTCCACCTACGATTTTAACATGTAATTCACATACAAATATTCCTTAATCATTACAAGTAAAATAACCTATGCTCATAAATACTAAGAGAATTATCTTTGAGAAATCTTGACAGAAATTGAACACATAAGCACTTTAGGAAAATTAGTTTTGCCTTGGGGTAGATAAATTTTAGGTAGACATAAATCTTACTTCTAGAAGCCCAAAAAACTATCATACTAAAACAACTTAGAATTGAAGATCTTTGATTGCTAATTCTTGAATCAATTGATGATCCGATGATGAAGCTAAAGTTTTCAATTATTTGGGGGAGATAGGAGTGGCAACGGAGAGATTATGCGAGGAGGAAATATATAAAATTAAGGTCATCTCAGTGTATATATATATATATATATATATATATATATATATATATATATAGTAGAGATCAAGTGAGAATAGTGTCTTAGATGAGGACTGTGGATTATTAAGTAGCCTTTGGATTAAACAAGTAAACGGCTGTGATTGCACAATTGGTAAAAATTAATTGGCACGAAATTAGGGTGGTAACCGTAGTACTGTAGTAATTAGTCCAGGGGTAAAAGGGTAAATGGAATGTGATCGTGGCAGTCTATAATATGGTAAACGCGAGAAACACGATTCTACTACCCAGGGCTCGCAAAGTTGTTGAAGCTGAGAATTTGTTCGTCCACAGCCATTAACGCAAAAGTTTTCATCTATCTACCAAGAATCTGTAGCCTAGGCGACAACTCCCCCATCGGAATCCATGGCCGACGCAACCCCAATGTTAAGTCAACGTCGTGGATCCTTCGAAGCAACGAATAGAATCAGTATGTATTTGTTCCCTTTTTTTTTTTAATTTTTATTTTCCTCGATGTTGGCCGTTTATACGCCATTGGAGGAACTTCAATTTGTTTCTTGAGGCAGTGGGAGGGGCGGTTTGTGCCACACTGTAGAAACGGAGATGGGGATTAAAAAGTCCCTAAAATGCATAATCACGGGTAGGGTTTGTATCGGGCTCGAGGATTGTGATGGTGAATTCTGGTGTGAAGATTAGGTCTTGGTTATTTGTGCACTGGAATTCAAAAGTGGGATTGCCAGAGTGTTCTCAAGTATATGCACAAAGACGTGATGGTGTTAATTTAGTAAAAAGTAGCAGAACTAACATCAATGTTTGGATGCACAAATTGGGGAAAAGCATATTGTTGGGTCCATAAACTAGCAGTAGGAGATATCAATTGTTTTTGGTGGTGTTGTTTAGCTATTAATTAGTTGAAAAAAAAATAGAGAGGGGACCACTAACCAAAGAAAAACATTTAATATTGGGTTGGCAATGACAGGGGTGGTAAGTTGTGTGTGGTAGTAGTACGGTGCATCAGTGTAGTACTAATGTGTGTAGTCATATAAGTGGTGTGTGGACTGAATATTGTGCATGCTAATAGCTTCTGTTTGTGCATTTTGGGTGTATAGAATTGTGTCATTGAAGAGTAAGTTTGTGCATTCTGCTGGGTGGAGCAAAGGTAGGATGTTAATAGGTGGGGTATTGTAAATAAACAAATTTGGTATAAATGTTAAATGAGAGAGTTTGTGGGAGGTGGGGTTATTTAGTATGTTTTACTTGTTGAACTAATGTTAATTTGTAAACTCACTTCACCCGGGTGCCATTCTTCCTGTGTTAATGATATATATTCTTCTGCTAGCTCGTGGATTTAGTTTCTGATTGCTCATAAGTTCTGCCGACTTCAAGAAGAAGATTAGAAGAAAGGAAAACCCGGGTCGGGTGAGATGTCCCTATTATATCTTTCGCCTTCTCCTAAATGCTTAAAATCCCTAATTCCTAAAGTAGCAGTTTAGTCGCGCTTCCATCGAATGGCTGTGGAACCTGAGAAAGCTAATTCTGAAGACCCTCAACAGACAGGTTTCCTTCTCCTCCTCAGTTTTTTTTTTTGTTTGTGTGTGTGTGTCAAGATTTTCACATAATTCAAGTCTGGATGTTGTTCTCACTAATGTTTAGCAACAATTAATGAAGATCAAATTTTAAATTGAAAATACTGACCATTCATTTATGTGAATCGTGGTATGGAATTATTTCTGAAATTCTTTTTGCTAACTTGTTAACCTAGATGTAAATTTGTGCTATTTTGGTCGTGCTTTATGCCTTTATGTATAAATTTGTTGAGCCAAGATTGTAAATGTTATAAATATCTGAGACAAGGAAAGTATTTTTGGTGTGTTTATACTGCATAGTTGTTTTTTGTTGATAATCTTGATTTTCAATGTGATTTTCCCCTTACATTTGCTAATCTGCCTTGAAACTTTTTTCAGTTTGCAGTTTCTTCAGAAAGCCATCAAAGGCCAAAAACATCAGAAAACGTACTGCCATTGAAGAGGGTGAGAACGAAGATGGAGATTCGAAAGACGAGACTTCAGTAGTATTTAATAAGAAGAAGCCAGCAGTTGCTGACAACAAGCTGCACTTTTCTACTAGGCCCTCAAAGCGGGAGATAACCTCAGAATCTGATGCAGATTCTAAAAGGTCTCTTTTTCAGTTCGAGTCTTCGAGGGAGATTCAGGTTCAGAATGATAATAAAGCAACTGCTACGCTGGAAACTGAGACGGAGTTCTCAAAAGATGCCCGGGCAATTAGGGAGCGAGTTCTCAAGCAAGCAGAAGAGGCCTTGAAAGGGAAAAATGAGAAGACTGGGGATGAGAAATTGTATAAGGGGATACATGGATATACTGACTACAAGGCAGGTTTCCGGAGAGAGCACACAATTTCCAGCGAGAAAGCTGGTGGATCACATGGTCCTCTTAGAGCTTCTGCTCACATTAGAGTTTCTGCCAGGTTTGACTATCAGCCAGATATCTGTAAGGACTACAAAGAAACTGGATATTGTGGCTATGGAGACTCATGCAAGTTTATGCATGATCGAGGGGATTATAAGTCGGGATGGCAGCTGGAAAAGGAGTGGGATGAAGCAGAGAAAGCCAAGAAGAGAAGAATGGAAATGGGAATGGTCGATGATGATGAAAGTGCAGAGCAGAGTGATGATGATGAAGATGATGCGATACCCTTTGCATGTTTCATCTGTAGGCAACCTTTTGTCGACCCCGTTGTGACAAAGTGCAAGCACTACTTCTGTGAGCATTGTGCATTAAAGGTAAGCCCTTTATATTTTTCAGGGTATATATCTACTGGAATTTGAACAAGGGTAGAGCAATTTAACCCCCAATGTAAGGCTATATATTGTCTTTCAACATAAAATTATTACAATTAATTGCTGCACATGCTAGTGTATTGGGTTTTGAGCTAGAGTGAATGCAATAGCTTACTCATATGCATCTGAATTGCATGTCAGAGCAGGTTTCCAATACAAGTACGTACTAACAACAATCATGCTGCTGTTTGTTTAGGACTTAAAATGCTATTCTGTCTTTTAGATATTTGGAATGCTGTGTGTTTGTATATCTGCTAGCATGAGTTTGTTGTCGTACATGAACTTTAATTTGGTGCATGGTGACTTGGTTTTTTTCCTCCTGTCTACTATTTTCATTAAGAATTACTCATTTTTTTTATGTTTAAAATAATTAATCCATCTTTATTTTGTGTTTCTCAGCATCATGCAAAAAATAACAAGTGCTTCGTGTGCAACCAGCCTACACTTGGGATATTCAATACTGCTTTTGAGATACGCAAGAAGATGGCTGTTGAAGGAAAATGAGGAACCTTGTCGTTTTTCTGTTAACTCTGGTAATTTACTAACTTTGAGTCTTGTTATGATTGTTGCATTTTAGATTTTGCAAAAAATATTAAGAAACATTTATATATTCTGAAATATTTTGCTCAAGAAAGCACCATAGAAAAGCTATCTTAGTTAGGCACCTGTGATTAAAAGAAAGCATGCATCAACATATAATACTTGTCACTACTCTGCATTGCTTATTTTTGCAATGTCTGGAAAACTTGTTGGGAGAATTCTCTCTTACTAATATTTACACGACCATCATCTTTGTTCACATACATGTTTTGGGTAATGAATCTCTTGTTAAAGAGGTTTGGCCTTGAGGTTGAGGTTGCAGTGTCTGGAAAACAAAATGACACTTCATTGCAATTAAGTTGATTCTTCAGAGTATAGATGCCTGGGATCCATCCACCTAATTTGTACTCTCTCATTCCCATTTCATTTTGGCCCTGTTTGGTAAAATGATTGTTAACTGATAGTTGTTTGCTGTTAGCTGATTGTGTTAATTAGAGGGTATAAATAGTTGATAACATTAGCTGATCGTAGAAAAGTGTTTGGTAAATTAGCTGTTAGCTGATAGCTGTTTGGTATAATTTCATTTATCAAAAAGCTAATTGAAAAGTTGTTTGGAGTAGATTTTTGAATTTTAGCCTTTTGGAGTTGCAAAAAGCTAATTAACCAAACATTTATATTGATATTTTAACTAAATCAAACAATTAATAGTGGTCAAATAAGCCAAAATTGGCCTATAGGCCAATTTTTTACCAAACAGGGCCTTTATGTGTTAACTAGACTTGACTGAAATTATTTTGAATTTAATTTTTTATAATATTAAGTTTAAAATTAATATATATATATATATATATATATATATATATATATATAAGCTACATTAAAAGTACTCTAAAACACGCGCGCACACACACACACACACAAAAAAAAAAGAAGCAAATTTAATAATAATTAAAGAATACTAAAGAAAATAAACAAAGAAGAAAGAGTCAGTTTGATCAATGAATAACAAATAAGACAGGTAAAATGGAACAGAGAGAGTATTGAGTTTCTGAGAGTGAATTGGGTTTGAGAACTTTTCCTTGTTTCTGCTATGGTATGGGAAAGCTTTCCAACCAATAAACATCTATCAAAATGCAATGCAGGTTGGAGTTGAGAAGTGGATGTAGTTTGTTACTTTCAACTTATTGTCATCCCTAATGGCGACTGAGCTTCTTCCTTCATTCCACCATGCTCGAATCGCCATGACGATGCATGAAATCAATCAAGTTTGAGGAAACTACTAAAGCACCGGAAATTTGAAGATGAAGACATCAAATTGTTTGATGCAGTCAAGATTGACCAGCAATGGAAATATGACACTAGTCAAGGGAGGAAAATGCCATCAATCAAATTAGAATATAGATTGAAGTATGAACGCATTGCTCAATTTAAAATAGTATGCCGTGGAAGTGTGGAGTTTGCATCATACAAGCTATTTTTAATCCATTTGAGCCTTTTTTTTTTCTTTCAACTAATACATCAGTTTTGTTTGGTAAAATAGCTGTTAGCTGATTGTGTTAATTAGAGGGTATAAATAGTTGATAACATTAGCTGATTGTAGAAAAATATTTGGTAAATTAGCTGTTAGCTGATAGCTGTTTGGTATAATTTCTTTTCTAAAAAAGCTAATTGAAAAAGTTGTTTGGATTAACTTTTTGAATTTTAACCATTTGAAGTTATAAAAAGTTAATTAATCAAACATTTATATTGATATTTTAATCAAATCAAATAATTAATAGTGGTCAAATAAGCTAAAATTGGCCTATAGACCAATTTTTTACCAAACGGGGTCAATGTAAAAAAAAAATCTACATTTTATTATTTATGCAGAATACAAAAACATTTGTATTTCGTAAGTCGTACTTGAAAGTTTTACTAATACACATGAGAGAAGCAACCAACCATAGTAGCTCAACCAGTGTCCAACATTGATGCACACCCGCAAAATCTCAATTGTACTTGATGTAAACTCTAAGTAGCCATTAGCCTGTATGAAATTAAACAACTAATTCTCTAGGGTTTGAAGTATGAGAGAGACTAAGGAAGCAATTTTAGAAATAAGGTCAACAATATATGCCAAATCAATCATGATTGCAAACAAGTTTTATATATAAAATCTTCTAAACCTTCAAAAAAGAAATCTATTTGAGAGGATAGAATGAAAGTTTGTATAAGAAAACTAAAGAGGTACAAGAATTGGAGTTTAGGCCATTTTAGCTTTTTTTTTTTTTTTTTTTTTTTTTTTTTTTTTTTTTTTTTCTTTTTTGAAAGTAAACATAAGATATCATTAAGTAAGATCCAAGCTCAAAGCACAAGCAATTGAAGGAAAAGGAAGTAAGGAACAATCCATACAGTCATACTTGGACAAGGCTTCCCTAGCTAGCAAACAAAAAGCTCAAGTTTGTGAAGCTTGAAGCTATTTTCCTAACATCATAAAGTAAGAGATCAAAAGAGGAAATAGGATCATGAACATGATGAATGTCGTGAATGACTTGGAGGCAGTCACTCTCTAGTTGAATGTTATCTATCTGCAATCTTTAATCCACTTTAAAGCTTCTCTCACGCCAATTGCTTCTGCCTCATGGGGTTTGTAGGTGCTGAACCCATTGGAGGTAGGCACTTGGCTGCGATAAGATGTCCATTAGAGTCACGAAGGATGAAGCCAAAGCCCATTTTGTTGTTGCTGAAATCAAGAGAAGCATCCACATTAAGCTTAAGCATTCCAGCTGGTGGTCTGGACCAAGTAGTGTCAACTGAAAACCTGGCAGTGTCAAGAGTGTTATTAGCCAAAGTCCATTCACATAAATAATTCTTAGCAGATTGGCATATAAAAGCAGCTGAGAGAATAGTATGATTCCAAATCTTTTCATTTTTGGCCTCCCAAATTTTCCAGCATATAGAGATGATAACACATAGATCATTATCAGATTTAGTTGAGAATAAAGTCACAAGCCAATCATGAAAAGAGGTGCTGGAGAGATGGTCGACATCACCAAGAGAAAACCAACAATTTCTAGCTAGAGGGAAATATGACTCCTCTTCAGTGTTGCATAATTGGCAAATTCCAGGAATATTAATGTGCTTTGTTCTCTGAAGATGGCAAGTTGGGAGAGAGGATGAGCACACCTGCCAAAAGAAAGTCCTAAGCTTTGGGGGCAATTTAAATTTCCAAAATCTAGTCCAGACAGGCACTTACTGAGAATTATAATCCCCCATAAGGGCCTTGTAGCAACTACGCACAGTGAAAACTCCCTTTTCATCCTCCATCCAAACAATTTTGTCTTTGAATTTATTTTCTGGAAGGGGAATACTCTTGATGAGGTTTCTATCATTAATGTTGAAAAGAGAATTGATGAGAGCATCATTCCATGAAGAGTTCCCAGGTTGCATAAGGGTAGCAACTTTGGCATTTTCAGGTTGGGAGGGTGTTCTTATTTGGTAACCATGGGTCATTCCAAATACAAATAGACTCACCATCTCCAACCCTCCAGCGACAACTCCTTTTGACAATAGTTTGTGCTTCAAGAATGCTCCTCCAAATAAAGGAGGGATTACTACCAAGATGAGCATCCATAAAGGTCCCATTCGGATAGTATTTGGCTTTGTAAGTTCTAGAAAGAAGAGAGTCTGGGTGATCAATTAGGCGCCAAGCCTTTTCCCTAACATTGCAATATTAAACTTTCTTATTCTTCTAAAACCCATACCACCCCACTGTTTAGGTATGCATAGTCTTTCCCAACTTTTCCATCTAATGCCCTTTTTCCTTTCACCCTCACATCCCCACCAAAAATTGTTCATAATTCTCTCGATCTCATTTCCCAGTTCAATTGGAAGAAGGAAGACACTCATAACAAATGTTGGGATGGCTTGAATGACATTCTTGAGTAAGATCTCCCCGCTCTGGATAGGAATTTGTGGGTCCAACTCTTGATTCTACCCACAATCTTATCTTTAATAAACCCAAGGGTTTCACGTTTGTTTCTGCCAATCAAAGAAGGGAGGCCAAGGTAATTCCCATTCAGAATTCCATCCCTCATTCCCAAAATAGTATAGATTGTAAGATTTTTCCTTATAATATATATTGTATATTATATATTAGGGCCTTGAATCCTTGATTAAGTGGTGCAAGTTGACTAGGCTTATTAAGTGGTCTGGTTGGACTTAATAACTAGTAGTTGTTAGTCAACCAAACTCTGTGCCTAATATAAACCTGGATTGATGGGATACAAGTTTATGGATTAGATAGCACATGTAGTTACGGTACTCAGACTGCTCAGTAGACACCAATACACCATCTAGGGTTCTGAGTCAGGTCTGAGGCAAAACATGACTAACGGTCTACCGTTAAGAGGCAACACAACAGGAACATCAACTATGGCTGGAGATCTACATGGCTACGCTTCCGCTCTCATACGAGGTCAGGTTTCTCGTATACTATTGTTCAGTTATAGTTAGACTATTTAGATCTAACATTTGGTATCAGAGCCTTCATAATCTCTGTCTGGTTGATTGTTATTGCCTAAGAATCAACATTAATTTCATATACATAAATTTTTGTATATGCTTTGGTTTACAGTTACCTTCATCCTAATTCATCAAAATATGCATCTAAAATATATCTTTTGGTTATGATATAATTGAGTAATTTAGTATGTATATTTTGAATGAATTAATTGTAATTAATTTGTTGGACTGCTGAAAATAATTTTCAACATTAATACGTACGATTTTAATTTTATTTTGGATTATGAAATTATCTATCATGATTGTTGGAGTGCGATTTAGTCTCCGATTTGCGTTTTCCGGCGACTCCTACTGGCGATGAGAGAGAATGACGGTTGCAGATTAAAAAAAAAACCAGTTCTATTTTTTCCATCTCGCCGGCGTTAAGGAGATCGCCGGTGCGTTCCGCTTTCAGAACATGTGGTTGTTTGCATCTGCGACTCTGAGATAACAGCGGCGATGCTAGCGTTGCGACGACGACGACGACGCTGGGTTTCTCGTCGACGTCCTGCTTCATCCTCCTTCAGGCAACGCTGGAGACGGGCTGTCGCTGCTCCTCAAGCTCCAGTCGACGACGGCGGGCGATGGTAATTAGCGCTGCAATGAGGCGATTCGGGAGGCATAGGCGTTGAACTGGGTTTACGACTCGACGCCGTTACCACTCTTCCCTCCTTCAGGCAGCGCTGACCCCAGGCCGTCACTGCTCCGTCTCTGCTTCTCAAGTTTGGGCAACACTGATGATTCACAAGGCTGCTAGGGTTACAGTGGTAGAAGAGGATGATGAAGGCAAATGTTTTGGGCCGGGTCTGGCCCAATTTGGCCAGACTTGGATCATTTAAAAAAAAAAACATATTGGGCCTGCTTTAGTTTATTAGGCTTACTTCATTATTTTTCCTTTGTTAGGAACTCTTGTATTAGGATTTTGATAATACCAATGTACTTAGAATGTAGACCCCTAAATTTCGTTATTTTCATCGCTGCTTTCGTTCTAGACGAAAGTTGCCATAACTCATTATGTAATTCGTGTTAAGCTAGACAAACACACGAAAACGAGTTATGTTTCTTAGTTGGGTCTATCAAAGCGAAAAGAGACAAGAGCACGGAATTAAAGGCTTCAACAACGAAAGATCATCTCAGGTTATCAACCATCTCGACAAGACAGTAACCTTTATGAAGACTTATCAAGACACTCATTCTTTCCTATAACGAGAAGAATGTCTCTACTGTCTGAGTTGATTAACCATCATAGGGACAAAAAGAACCTTAATGTGTGGGACACACATACCCAAGAGCATTAAATGCAACTGTATTATCCTTCAGAAGCTAAAAGACAAAAACCCTAAGGGTGTCCATGTCTCCAACAGCTACATGGTACAAACCGCATTGTTGGACAATTTTTAATAAAGTCATCGCAAGTGCACGAGTCAATTGTAGTAGTAGCATGCAATAGCAAGGGTCGATCCCACAGGAAATTGTACGATGCAATTTAATAACTTGAAAAGAGTGGGAAGAGAGATTAACATAAAGTAGTAAATTAACAAAAACTAGATGATTTAAAATACTAAGATCAAATGCCAAAGGTGAAGATCAATCAAACTCAGGAAAACAAACAATAAAATTAAAGCAGAGAAAGTAAAATAACAAGTAGATTAAACTAAATCGCAATCAACATGGATTAAACTAAATGAAAACGCAAGCGAAAATAAAGACAGGAAAAATAATAAATTAACCACGAAACGAAACGACTAGGGAATAAGACTAGATTAACTCAGTCAATTCTCTCAGTAGATTAATTTAAGCTAAATTGATTAAATTCAACTCAACTAATCTTAATATAAAATCATTAGATAAAACATAATCAATTAGCAAAATTAAACATAAATTAATGCAAGATGTTCATAGAAATTGGATGATGTTCTCAGGCAAATTTAATTAGCAGTGAATCATGTGATCAACAGCAATTAAATCACAAAATTTAATCTT